CGTGTTTGGTTTTCTGCAGCCTAAATACACATGCATATGGTATTCCAAAAATGCCTCAGCATAGGTTCTGTGGTTGCTAAAAGGCCTGTTTAACACTTTGCTGTAGTTAGAAGATCATAGTCTTTTAAACAGGCAGTGACCTAGATATTATAATTCATATTCTGGCTATTCTCCAAGCATTGAAGTTATTTATATCTGATATTTTAAATATTAAAACAGCAGGTTGATACTACCAAAAGCACTGGGATTCTAGCTCACTTTTTTGTAGTCACCAATTATAACAGTCTCCCTTAGTATAAGAAACCAGACTACACATGAAATCTTTTTATTTAGCCAAATGTTAGCCAGACTGAACTTTTCCACTATTTCTTACAGTTCAATAAAAAAATGCACATATAGACACACATAAAACCAAACTTAAGCAACCAACCAAAAACTCTACAAAAATTCATTTTAAATGAATTAATCATATGGAGATTGTTTGTTCCTTATATTAAAGTACTCAGTAATACTGCTCCTATTTTCAATCATTTATTTATATTAATGGTATTTCCATGTGCATTTGCAAACACGAGATAAAAAATAAATTGAAAATGTAAAGCAAGTATTTTTTTTCTCAGGATGAAGTTTTAAAAAAACCCAAACCAGTTATTTTATTTTAAACAATCATTATATTCTTCACTATCCCTAATAACAAGAAATATTATTGTTGTCTTTGATGCAATGAACAGCCACCCAAATTCAGAAAATATCCATGCTGTTACCATGAAGTCAGTGAGGTTAGACAAGGCAACTGGTAAGGTAAAGTAACCAAGGATATGGTTTCCTGTAGAGAATATTAGATTTATAAGTGATAGGCTGAATCATATGGTATGTGACTATCTGCACTTGAATGAAGTAACACAGTTCCATTGGCATACTAACAGAATTAATTGAATATCTGTTGTGGTTTATTTTTTGAAAGGGCCCACTGGAGGAAAGACCAACCAAAAGCATGTAACAAAAAACATGCAACATAGAGCATGTAACATTTTTCCAACACTATATTCTAAAATCTCCCAATCTATTCCGTGTCTTGTGTTCAACTCCCATCTGGGAAAAAAAAAACAAAACAACACAATGTAAAACTTGATTTACATTCACTGTATTACATTATCATGTTAACTTGTCTCCATGGATGGAGGTGATGAGTTGGGTAATACAAAAATGTCTTGCTAAATTTGTATCAGATTAATATATAAAACCTGCAATCCAATCTATCCCAAACTCAGTGAAATATATTTCTGAATAAATATGGAAAAGACAGTTAATTTAAATATATTTAGGAATGAAAGAGTTTTAGAGGGGAATTAGTTGAGAAGAAATTAGAACTAAAGATAACTGCAATTACATGTAGAATCTGTCATTACATGAAGAAAGAAAATGATGGAGTAATTCCCCAACTGAGTTTACTTCTTGTGTAAAATGAATATAGTTAAAGACATCCACTCATTGAACTTTCACTAGAACTGTGATAATTAGGGTCACAAGAACATATATACTATGATGTCAAGAAAACAAACTGACACTATAGACCTGGAGTCAAATATGAGTACAAGATGATAGTGCAGAACCAGTAGCACAAAGGTTTTTATAGCTCCTTAGTTAATCACAGGATTTACATTGTTTCATAATTCCAAACTCCATTAACCAGAGCAGATTGCCAGTTTTGTGATCCAAGTATTGAACTGAAGGCAGGCAGTATGCAAGATGGGATCATCCTAGGCCTCATTATCTAGAAAACTTAAAGCCCCATATAATTTCAATCTTTAAAAAAAAAATCATTTCCAGAATCTTAATCCAATCTCATAGGCAATGAAGCTCTGATAGTCAATATTCCAATGACAGAGTAAGTGCAGTATCAAAAGTGTGCCTAGAAAGGCTTGGAAAGACACATTTTCCTCTGAAGTTATTTCATTAATTTAATGATCCATAGCAAAAGTTCTGTGAATAGCTAGAATGGCAAAACATTGGAGAAAAGATAGTCACAATGTGTAAGAAAAATTAAAAGAAACAAGTATTCACTTGAAATTAAGCCTTACTTTTTTTTTTCTGTCTCTGGTTTTCTGACTGATCAGAATAAGCATGAGGTACAGTTCTACACAGAGAAAAAAAGGAGTAAGGCCAGGTCTCCATCAACTACATCAAGAAAAATATGTGCTGTAGAGACAAAGGATGGAGGAAACCCACTGACTTGTTGAGAAGAAATTCCCTCACGGTAGCTCAATATTTCTATATAACAGGAGAAACTTTTAAGTGTGGCACTTGGCTCTTTACTTGATATTTTAGTGACTGTAATTCTTACTGTGTAATGATACATAGATAAAGATCCTGCCTTAGTAATGTCTAGCATGACATCTGTGAAATGTCACTGCCAAGAGCTTTCCACTAACAACTTCATTATCATGAAAAGAATTTGCAGGAAGAGACCTTAAAGATCATCTCATTCCAACCTCATTTCCATGGGCAGGGACAACTTCCATTAGACCAGGTTGCTCAGAGCCCTATCCAGCCTGGCGTTGAATGCCTCCAGGAATAGGGAGTCCACAATTTCTCTGGGCAACCTGTTCCAGTGCCTCACCAAACTCACAGCAAAGAATTTCTTCCTGATATCTAACCTAAATCTACCCTCCTTCAGCTAAAGACCATTCTCCCTTGTTCTATCATTACTTGCTGTCATGAAAAGTACCTCTTCAGACTTCTTTTAGGCTCCCTTTAGGTACTAGAAGGCCACTCTAAGGTCTCCTCCATGCTGAACAGCTCTCTCAGCCTGTCTTCACAGAAGAGGTACTTCAGTTCTATGTTCATAGTGTCTCTCCTCCGGGCTTGTTCCAGTAGGTCAGCATCTTTCTTGTGTTGAGGGTCCCAGACCTGGACACCTTACTCCAGAGAGGGGCTCACAAGAGTAGGTCACTCTACCAAGGGTTGTATTATTGAAGACAGTTGAGGGGTCTTTTAGGTTTTTCCTCCTTAGTGATGTTTTTGGAACCCTGTCATTCTTCTACACAGGGATCAGACACACGACACTATTGAACAAACTGATTTCTTTCCTCTTTTGATGGTAATTTCTCCTAAATTGTTTGTAACTATCATATTGTGATCCAGACACTTCATCAAATTATATTCTGCCCAATGTGACTGCTATGCTTTATCAAATTAATTTTCCATACTGACTACCACTGGCTATGCATGCAGAGATGACATAAACTGGTAAATTCTAAGTCCAAAGCACCAAAAAAATATCTTAACAGTCATAACAAGAAAAAAAAATATAAAGGCTGTAATTAGGTTTTGAAACAGAATTGGAGGAGCACCACAAAGAAATTTATTCCAGAATTAGTAAAGTCTTCAGTCTTGTGTCACTTGTTTGCCCTGCTATTGAAATATCAACCCTACCCTCTTAGGCTCATGAGAAAGGAATCTTTTTCAAGCTATGAGATGTATTTCTAGAGAAGTAAAGAATAAAATTCCTAAAATCTCAGTACAATGCTCCGGAGAGCTATTATTAGGGGGGAAACATGGAATTGAGTCTAAGCAACAGTTTGAATAAAAGTGGTAAGATTAAGTTTTAAAGAGTTTACAAGATTCATTCAGGTCCATCAAAAATATAAAATTCTAATTACACAAACTCGTTCCTTTCCTTAACGTTTGGAGAATTTTTCTGATATTATCGCACCTATATTGAGTAAGAGAGAGGATACAAAGGAAGAGTGATTAACTTTTTTTATTATGTCCTGCACAGGTATTAATAGGAAAAAAGAGAATCTTCATCTGCTTTATTTAAAAGTAAATACGAAGTTCCTTTCTGCAGAAGTTTAAACCTTACAGAGATTGTTTTTGCAGTACACTTTCTTGAAGAAAATAAAATTATTTTTTCTTCTGTAAAGATTTTATCTGGTCATTTACTAACAGCTATAGCCATCTATTTGGTAATTCCTTTTTCTTTGTACTTTAAATCCCTCCGAAAATTCCCAGAGGAATGTAGTTTGGTGCACAAACTAATTTAGAAGGTTTTAAATATATAAGTTGATATGGGTACTGGTATTGGTATTGTTAGTGTCTAAGACCATCAAAATGGGAGAAGAGTTTAAGTCCTACCTTCCATACGCTTCTTTTGTTCTGTCCAGAACTTGCACAAGTCTTACAAGCTTTTCTCCTTCGTCCCCAAAGAAGTAGCTAAAGATAAGGGAATCAATTTCTTATGGAAAAAGCTTGTGGCTTTTATGCTACATAGCTTAGGAAATTTACAAGGGCTAAAAAAATTTAAATCCCTTTGGAAATCTCTTGGAATTGTTTGTGGTTTGTGTAAACAAATTTATTTTCTGGCATATTTTATTAAAAAATATCTTTTAGAATTTCTCTTTCCTCACATTTACTCCCTAATTTTTCAGACCTCTGACAGTGCTGAGAAAGTGTCTAATGTACGGTCACTGTAACAGCAACAATAGGGTACAAAATAATGCCAGGTCTCATAATAACTCGGAACTGGAGATGAGGATGACTGATAAAAAGACTGTGAAGGAAACTTAGAAAACCATATATTGACTGAAAAAAAAAAGTTGATTTGTTTTACTGTTTGGTTGTTTACAGGACAGGAATAAGACTTAAGGCATGTGAACTTTTAGAAGTGTGTTTGAACTTCAATTTTCATGTATTTTTTGGTCATCTGTAAACTGGATCACAGATTCTCCTAGCTGTCATTCCCTCCTATGATAATACTTTATGTAGTGAACTGTCATTCAAAAATGTTTTAACAAATTGCAAAATCTTCTTACAGATGGAGATTACATACAAAAAAAAATATTTATTTTTTTTTATAACCGGGGAACTTTCTTTTTGACATAATTTGTCTTATTAAACTTGTGGACTTGTTTTCTATGAAATATTTGCTAAGCAATGCCAAATGCCTTTCTCCCTGTGCCTTTCTCTGAAAATCCTTCTCTTTCTTTCTTTTCTAACAGGAGTTGAAATTCACAAAGTTGAGGTAGGAAACTCATTATATTACTGGTAATTTAACTAATTTACTTAAAGCCAATGATATTAAAGCTTTATGATGTTATTCTTGTGATTTGTGTCTAGCAGTTATTCACTATGGTAGTTTACAGTCAAGGTTTGGAGTCAGCACAAAATATCTTTTCCACAATATAGAGAACTACTATGGATTCGTCTTGTCAGTGGCATGTTGGATAAGATGTTCATGTAAAACAATCAACTATTTTTCTGAGCTTATAAATAGTTTTGAAGTATAATGCCATATTCCAAGTCCTATCTTTCCATTAATGCTGAAGTTTTCTTATAATTTATATTTGACTCTGATCTGGGCCCCATTAAAACAGAAAGATTTAGGGACTTGTATCTTCACTGGGCAGTGAAACACCCTCTTTTTTCTTTCCAGAACTCCAAAATTTTCTTTAAACCAGAAGAGAGGGAAGATGGTGCATCTGACTAAAGATAGTTATATTATCTACATAGATTTGTGATAAAGCTGAGTTTATCAGGAGACACATATAGAAATCAACATGTTTTTGTATTCATGTCTCACTTACAGAATTGGGAACACCTACTAACTGACATATTTTAGTGTCAAGGAGCTCAGTTGTTGCAGTGAAATTAGAGGAAAAAAGTAAAGTTTTTTAATATATCCTTTCATAAGAAAATTTTTAACTAACCTACACCAAGAGGGTGCCAAGAGGAAAAGAAGGGCAGTTGTAATAGGAGACTCTCTTCTAAGGGGAACAGAGGCCCCCATATGCAGACCAGATCCAACTCACAGGGAAGTCTACTGTCTCCCAGGGCCTTGGGTAAGGGACATTACCGGAAAACTCCTCAGTCTGGTAAGGCCCTCTGATTGCTCTCCACTATTGATTGTTCAAACTGGCAGTGACAAAATAACAAAGGCAAGTCCGAGAGCAATCAGAGACTTCAGGGCCCTGGGACAGTTGGTAGAGGGAGCACAAGTAGCGATTTCTTCTGTCTTTTGCTAACAAGAAATAATATTGTTTGGAATAGGCAGATCCATCAGGTCAGGTAGTGCCTCTGAGGTCGGTGTAATAGTAAAAATTTTGGGTTTCTTGACCATACGATGATTTACTCAACACCTGGTTTAGTGACACCTAATAGGACTCACCTATCTCAGAGGGGAAAAAGAGTTCTAGTGCAGGAGATAGCAGGGCTCGTTGACAGAGCTTGAAACTAACCCGGAAGGGGGAAGGGAACAAAACCTGGCTTACCAGTGATGAGCAATGGATTGGTGTGCCAAAATTTGAAGTAATGAGCACAAATGGGATCCCTCACTCTGCTTCTCGAGTTGTTGGCTACAATGTACCACACCTGAAATGTTTCTACACCAATGCAGACAGCATGAGGAACAAAAAAGTGGAGCTCCAAGGTTTGGTCCATTACCAGAGATTTGGGATAAGTGAAACCCGGTGGGATGAGACCTGTCACTTGAGTTAGGTAGTCCTGTTGGATGGGTTACAAGCTCTTTGGGAGGGATAGGCAGGGCAGAAGAGGTTGAGGGCTGGCACTGTATGTAATAGAAGAGTTAGAATGTATGGAGCTCACAGGTGGCAATGGCATCTGACCTCTCAGCCAGGACAATGGCACCAACAACTTATTCTTTGAGGAACTAATGGACACTTCCAAGTCAACTGCACTTGTCCTTATCTGGGACTTCATCGTGCCAGAAATTAACTGGGAGCATCACACAGCTGGTACAACCCAGCCAGAAGATTCCTAAAACGCTTGGATGACAACTTTATGGAACAGGTCCTAAGAGAGCCAACTTGAAAAGATGCCCTCCTTTATCTGTTTGTCAACAGGGTGGATCTTGTGAGCAAAACGGAGATTGGCAGCCATCTTGACCACAGTGACCACAAGCTGATCGAGTTTAAAATCTCTGTTGACAGGAGGAAAAAGTGCCAGCAAAACCTCAGCACTGGACATGAGGAGAGCAGACTGCAGGCTGGTCAGGAAATTAGTAAGTAAGGTCCCCATGGAAAATGTTTTTGAAGGTTCTAGAGTCCATCAGTGTAGGTTTTTAAGCATTACCTCCTAAGGGCACAGGAGAAGGCAATTCCAAAATGTTGGAAGTCAAACACAGGAGACAGAAGGCCAGTTTGGCTGAACAGGACTCTTCTCTTGGAAATAAGGCAAAAGAGGAAGGCATATGCCCAGTGCAAGCAAGGTCAATCGACATGGGAAGAATTCAGAGATGTTGCTTGCCACTGTAGGGAGAAATTCATGTGGCCAAAGCTCAACTGGAGTTGAAGCTGGTCAGAAATGTGAGAGACAATAAAAGAAGTTTTTTCAAATATACTAATGGCAATAGGCAGTATAGAAACATCATCAACCCATTACAGGATGAGGATGGTCACCTCACAAACAGGGACAGAGACAAGGCAGAGGTATTTAACCCTTTCTTTGCCTCTGTCTTCAACACGGATGATGGATCAAAGGGGTCTCAGTGCCCTGAGCTGGAAGACCATGACTGCAAGAATGACCAACTCCCAGTCAACCCCGGAACAGTACAGGATCTGCTGCTCCAGCTGGATCCCTACAAATCTATGGGGCCTCATGGAATTAATTCAAAAATCCTCAAAGAACTGGCTGATGTCATCGTAAAATATCTCTCGATGATTTTTGAGGGGTCTTGGGAATCTGGAGAGGTCCCAGCTGATTGGAAACTGACAAACATTGTCCAGGTTTTCAAGAAGGGCAAGAAGGAGGACCCTGCAAACTACAGTCCTGGTAATCTCGCTTCAGTGCCCAGTAAAATTATGGAGAAGATTATTCTGGGAAGTATTGAAAAACACCTGAAAAGCCAATGCAGTCATTGGTCACAGTCAGCACGGCTTCATGAGAGGAAAGGCCTGCTTATCAAACTTAATTTCCTTTTATGACAAGGTAACCCACCTATCTGATCAAAGGAAGCCAGTTGATGTAATCTTTTGGAATTTCAGTAAAGTTTTCTATACTGTCCCTCACAGGATCCTTCTGGACAAAATATCCAGCACACGGCTGGATAAACACATCCTGTGATGGATGAGCAATTGGCTCATGGGTTGAGCACAGAGGGTAACAGTGAACAGGGTAACATCAGACTGGTGACCTGTCACTAGCAGGGTTCCACAGGGCTCCATTTTGGGCCCTGTGCTCTACAACATCTTCGTAAATGACTAGGACAAAGGACTGGAAGGGATACTAAGCAAGTTTGCAGATGGTACAACTCAGAGGAGTTGTTGACTCTCTCAAAGACAGAGAGGTCCTGCAGAGAGACCTTGACAAATTAGAGGACTGGGCAATCACCAACCATAGGAAGTACAAGAGGAAGTGCTGGATTCTGCATCTGGGATGAGTAAACCTTAGATGTTTGTACAGACTGAGGAATGAGATGCTGGAAAGCAGTGCCATGGAAAGGGACCTGGGGTTCCTGGTTAATAGCAAGTTGAATCTGAGTCAGCAGTGCCCTGGCAGCCAGGAGGGCCAACCGTGTCCTGGGAGGTATCAGGCCAAGCATCACCAGCTGGTCGAGGGAGGGGATTTACATTGGACATTAGAAAAAGGTTCAGGACCGGACTCCCCAGGGAAGTGGTCAAAGCACCAAGTCTGACAGAGTTCAAGAGTTTGGACAGTACTCTTGGGAAAGGTCCTGCACAGGGCTAAGGGTTGGACTCAATGTTCTTTGTAGGTCCGTTCCAATTCAGCATATTCTGTGATTCTGTGATACTGTACCTTTAGTATTTTGGCAATAATTTACAGTTCTTTGGTTACACAAATCTTATTTCATCAATAACTCATGTAGTGAAAAACTAAAGAATATTCATAGCATCTAATTTTAGTTATGAAGTTTGAGGTCTTCAAGATGTGTCTATGTCTTTGTTAAAAAAATGCAATCTATAATTCATTCTGTAATATGACAAATATTTGGATAGATTTATGTATACTGACAAAAACTTCATTTTAGATGTAAACACTGGTGGTGATCCAGCATTGCTCAGGGGCCAGTTGGTTAGACACAATTCAGGTTCCCTCTAATTTTCTGATTGTGGTATCAGTGGAAAGAAAACTACACCAACAAAGCAGAGTCTTTAATATCTTGTGATTTAAATGTGGGACTAATGGGAAGTAAAGAAAATGGAGTTCAGGTTGGTCATACAGCCAGTAATCAACTCAAGAAAAAATTATTTTACCACTGAGTAGAGACCTTCAGGTCCAGCAAACCAGATCTCCCTCCCATTTGCACAGTACAGTCCAAGGCAGACTTTGCCTGACTTTGGAGAATATGTGGAAGCACTATATACATATGCTGGACACAATTTATGGCTCTTCATAGAAATATATGTGTGCCCTAACAATATTCTTTGTATGTCACTCTTTATATGTTGGTGTTCTCTTTCCTATATATCAGCATCACATGACCACAAGAGAAATCTCAGCACGTAACAATGGAAATTCTAGCAGAAACCAGGGTGCCTCTTAGACTCAGTATTCCAGGAAAAACAAAAGTTGCCCTTAGTTATTATCAACAACTGCTCAGGTTTCTGATACAAGTAATAGATTTAACTGTTATTTAAAAACTTCAGGAGAGGGCAGGTTTAGGTCCTACATTACATTATGAAAATTAATGTTCTCATGTCTTATGGGATCAGGACCTGTATTTGGGATAGGAATTAATTCATTAGCAATGATGAAAGTTCAGCATAAAAATTCTATACATAATTATGTATGTATATTTATTTTTATCTCATGAATTCCTTACCCTTAACCTTTTAAACATAATAAAAGCCATTAACAGATTCAAATAGTATTTTTGTTTCTTCATCCTGCAGGAATATTTAATGTTACTATTCTCAAAAATACATTTACAGACAGTTTGGGCAGGTGTGTGACTGAAAAGGTCAAAAAAAAGTCAAAGCATACTTAACAAATATATTTCTGCACTCTGTCACAAAGATCCTTTTGGTTGCATAGCAACAACCTTTTAATTACTACTTG